GGGGAAATTGTTCAGTCTGTTAGTAGTTCTGTTAATTTGTTCACTGTTACAGTTAGATAAATAAGTTGCTACTGGGTGCTTATGAAGTATCAGGGATTTCATTTCATTTAACCATCTCCTCCATCACACTGATAAAAAACAGATGTGATACGAGGAGCATTTTCAGGATGGCAACCTGTAACTAGCAAAGTGTCACAGGGAGCTGTGCTGAGGCCACAATCATTTTCAATACACATTCATGATTTGGAAGAAGAAAGTACTATACCCAAATTTGTGGATACCAAAAAATAGTTGGGAAGGCAGGTGGTGAGGATGACAGTCTGTAGAAGGATACGGACAGGTTATGCAAGTGGACGAAAACTTGGCAGATGGAATATAATGTGGGAAAATGTGAGGTCATGCAATTTGGTGGGAAGAATTGAGGGACTGAACATATTTAAACAGAAAACACTGCAGAAAGCTACAGTAGAGAGGATATCCTGCATATAAATCACAAAAAGGTAGCATACATTCAGTAGGTAATAGAGAAGGCAAATAGAATGTTGGCCTTTATTTGAAAGGGAATGGAATTTGCTAAACTATACAAGGCACTGGTTAGACTACAGATGGAATACTGTGAACAACTTTGGACCCCCTTTCTAAAGGAAAGATACTGGCACTGGAGGCAGTCCAGAGAAGGATCACTGGGTTGTTCCCAGTATCCAGTTTTAGGAGTAGAAATAAGAGTTTGAGTAGGTTGGGTTTGTCGTCAATAGAGTTGAGATGAGGGAGAAAGGACCTTTTCAATAATATTCTTAAGGAATTTAACAGGGTAGATGAGGGAAGGTTGTTTCCCCTTGAGTGTGTGTCTAGGACCGAAGGCATAATCTCTGAGTAAGAGACAAAGAGGAATTTTTCTCTCAGAGGATAGTCAATCTGTGGAATTTTTACCCAGTGGACTGTAGGAGCTTGGTCAGTTAGTCTATTCGAGGCTGAAATAGACAGGATTTTAATCAGCAAGATAATCAAGAATTATGGAAATAAGGCAGAAAAGTGAAGCTGAGGGTTGTCAGATCAGCCATGATCTCACTGAATGGTGACTCCATAACTCAATGACCTACTTCTGCACCTCTGTCTTGTAGTCTCATGTGAATATTTGAAACTGCACTCAGACTAAGTGTTAAATGTTCCAATTTCATACACATTTCTAACTCGAGTTATTGGCAGTTTAAGTTAAATGGGTCTTAAAGGAAAACTGATTCAAGGATTTCAGCAAAAAATAAAAGCATCTATATTTGTTGCATTTTTAATTTAAATAGTTATGTAAAAGATATTACATTGCAGCTATGAGAATTTTTTTTCAAGTAAATCTCTTAAAAGGAGGAAGGGATGGGTGGGGAACGTGTGTCTGTAGAGGGTAGGAGAAACTCAGACTCAGCAGCTCGAGGTCAGCCCAGGTCTCAGAAACCCTGTAGTGTGGAAATAGGCCATTTGGCCCATCAAATTCACACCAACCCTCTGAAGAGCATCCCATCCAAAGCCATCACCTCTACCCTATCCCTGTAACCCCATGATTAACCCATCTAACCAGCACAGCCTTGGACACTATGGGCAATTTAGCATTAAGCAAATCCACCTATCCTGCACATCTTTGAACTGTGGGAGGAAACCAGAGTACCTGCAGGAAACCCACGCAGACACGGGGAGAATGTGCAAACTCCACACAGTTGCCCAAAGGCAGAATCGAATCAGAGTCTCTGGCACTGTGAGGCAGCAGAGCTAACCACTGAGCCACTCTGCCACCCCAAAAGGTCTGAATGACCTTCAACTCCCAGACAGCGAACTACAGAAAGCCACCTTTGTATGATACAATGCGAGATTGGACGTCGTTACCAGTGCACAGGAGGTCACTATGTATTTGCTGAAGGGATACAGGCAAGAATGCTCAATCAATATTCACATCAATTCTCATCTTTCTGATAGAACAGATTCGGCTGCTGTGATTTAGGATTTTTGTTAATGACTTCACAGCATTAATACCAACCCTCCAGTTCCCTAACATCAAACAGATCACACCAGCAACAATCTAAGTGAATTATTGCTAGAGTGAAAAAGGACCATGCTCCATTTCTGTACCACATGCTAACCTGATTGTCAGAGGATGGGAGTTACTGATTAGCATAGCAATCAATGTCTTACTTTGTTTGAGTACATTTTAGACATGACGAGAATTCCCAGAATATTGAGAGCATGAACATCTTCTGTCACCACAGTTTTGCATGTTTGTATGTGTCGATCTCTGAATTGCCTTTTGAATTGTATGAAGATTGCCTTGGCTGCAGACTTAGTCATCAAGTCCCCATGGCTTTATCTCCAGTCATGATTAGGAAAATCAAATTGAGCATTTTGAGTCAATGTATGGCAAAACTAAAAAGGAAAGTCCCTTCACCTCTTCCTGGATCTCCTGCCTACTTCACCCAACCCCTCCTCAGCATCAGGACGGGATCAAACTTTCGTGGGAGCAACTATTTGCTGTTCAGCTTAATATATCACTTTACTGTGTGTGGACACGCTGCACATGGTACAGTTGCCAATAGAAACATTGTCGTGCACACTAATTTGCCATTACACATGCATGTAGAGTTTACAGGAATTATAGCAAAAACAGACAGGCTGAATTGATTTGATTTATTATTACCTATACCAAAATACAGTGAAAAATTTTTGTGCGTTGTTCAGGTATATCATACCATACCTGTTCAGGCAGATCATTACATTGTATATAGGCTAGGACCTTTTCCTGGCACGTCAGAGGCTGACGGGTGACCTTACAGTGGTTTATAAAATCATGAGCAGCAGAGATAAGGTAAATATCCAAGATCTTTTTTCCCAGGGTAGGGGAGTCCAAAACTAGAGGGCTTGGATTTAAGTTGAGAGAGGAAAGATTTAAAAAGGGACTACAGGGGCAAGTTTTTCCCACACAGAGGGAAGTGCACGTATAGAAGGAACTGCCAAGAAAGTGGCATTTGGATGGATATACGATTAGGAAGGGTTGAGAGAGATACGGGCCAAACAGAGGCAAATGGAACTAGTTCAGTTTAGAATACCCGATTGGCGTGGACAATTTTAACCGAAGGGTCTTTACCTGTGCTGCATGACTGAGCAAAACTCTGATAATGTGATTGTTGTGGTTTCAGTGAAAAACTGGGTTTTTGCGTTCTTAAAGGAAATAAAAATATTTCTGATCTCTACCATGATCATGCCACTGATTTTAATAAAGATCATAACAAGCAATGTCATGCTGGTAAATCACCTTTGAATCACAGCTTCAAAATCTTGACCTGAGGGACAGAAACTATTGTAAAAATAGCCATAAAGTTTTAAAGCACATTTATATCCAAATCTGACACCTCCATGTGGGCACACACGTAGTCAAAGACAATGATTCGGGCACTGCGGATAGAGATGTGCTCTTCAGCATGGTACACAATAACAATACCCTCACTGTCATGTCCATTGACATGTACTGATTCTCACTAAATTTCTGCACTTGCATGACAAATGCAAATTCAAATTGCTACAGTTTGTTAAGTTTCGTCCACTGTAATTTAGCTACTTTTCAACTATGAGTCTAATTATTATCAAAATATCTGTCACTGAAAATACATTTCATACTTTTGTTTCTTTTTCAAACTAATCTCTCTCTACCTCTATTTCATTTTGATACCCAATTTAACATTAAACTAACTATTCAAAGTTAGACATCCAGTTCAGGATCAGCACTGTTCATGAATCACTTTCATGTACCCATCCAAATCAATGTTACAAAGACACACATTTGCTTCTTCTGTTCACTTAGGACCCAGATGCCCTGTAAAGGCAATGTGCCACTTGAATCTTCGACTACCATGAAAAAAAGTGTGCAGAAATCAAACAGGCAAAACCATTTTACTGTTCATCGATTTTTGTCTTCAGTCTTTGACCTACTGCAATATTCCAGTCAATGCAATCTTAAGAAACAGCACATTATCTTTGGTTCAGGCACATTAAGCCCATCTGGACTCGACAGTTCAACAACCTTAGATCATGAACTCTGTCCTCCATTTTATTTCTTTTGCAAATGCCAATCTGTACCGTGCTTTCATGTTTTGTTTTCATACAGTACCAACTTTTAATCTGCCAGTAATACTAATTCTTGACTAGTTCTTGGTTTTTTTTATAGTAAAGATGACTCCCTTGCCTTCTGTTCCATGGTATCTTGCAATTTAACCTCTCAGGCTCTCTAATCCAACCCGAATCTTCTGTTTTGCACTATCTCACCCTCACCCCTTTTCCAACAGCATTAAATCCCCCCATTTCTACCTGCCTTCAGAACAAAAGAATCATATTCGACTCAAATGTTAACTGCTTCTCCCTGCACAAATGCTGTCAGGGCTTCTGTGTTCTTAAGGCAATTACTGTTTTATTTCAGGTTTCGAGCAGACACAGTATTGTTTTTATTTTAGCTGTCATTCACCAGCTACAGGAAATTCTGTACAAACAGTGACTTTAAAGTTAAGACTGAAATGAAAAGTAAACACATGCTACAGGGAGAGAGAAAAAACAGGAAAAGAACAGCGGGAGGGAGCAAAGGAACAGAAGATGGGACCTAAAGTACAGCGACAGAGAAAAAGTGATATATAGGCATTGTGAAATCTAAACAATTCATTTCCAAACTCAAAGTAAAAACTTGGCTTGCTCCTTCCTTGTATATATTCCAACCACAGGTGCCATGTCTATGTATGTTGCAGAAATGTACATGATTTGGTGAATGAGAATAAATTTGTACCTTATTTGAGCAGACTGACATGATTTCTTCTCATAACCCAAGACAACATCAACACAGCATTATAATTCTCAACTAAACAACCCTCAAGGAGTTTCAAATTTTGAAAGTCAAGTGATGAAGGTCTGCAGACAAATCTGCATCAGCTGTTAGAACAAACTGTTTTCCATTAGGTAGTAAAGCAATCACAGCATACCTGTGCTTGATTAAAGCAAGCAGCTACCTGGGCTTTTACAGTCTCCAATCCTTGATCACCTTCTGGCTCCCCACTTGGATCTTCACTCAGCATTTCATCAGCTTTCTCAATAATTTCCCTTACTTGGTCAATAAATGATTCTCTCTCAGTCTCCAGGATAAACTCGTTCTGAACCTGTATCAAAGAAGACGGAAAATTATTCTCAACTCTTATCTCATTAAGGTGTGTATCCTTAGCAATTAAGGGTGTAAATGTTTATGAAAAAAAGTCTTCTGCAGTTCCATTTTAGAGAACACCATCAAAAGCAGTTTGTTTTCCAAACTGCAAAAAGGAATACTTCTTCTACCATCATATAGACCCACAGTGGAATAATTTCTCATTACTGATACAACCAGAACAGTTCGTGAATTTAAACATCTCAAGTCTCCTTTTAAGCAGGACAACCCAATATTCTCCAGATAAACTTAAGTTCCTCATCTCTCTTGACATAATAAATGCCATGCAATGAAACTAATTTTGCACTAAGGTGTGTAATTTCTATGCATCATATCATTTATATTTCAGTTTGGGTTTATGAATTTTGACCTGGAGGCATATGGGTTTTCTGTGTTTGAAGGGATGAACGATTAATTTGTAAGTATTTCTGTAGCCATGGTCATTGATTTTAAAAACATAGTGAGAGAGAAATGCTTCCTTGAAAGTAATGGGTTTGTGTTTACTTTGGGAGATTTTTACCAGCAAACAAAGTAAACAGTTTTACATTAGGTTAGTGCTGTACATAGTACTGGTCACCATAATTAAGAATATAAGAACTAGAAGCAGGAGTACGCAATTCCGTCCTACTAGCCTGCTCCGCGTTAAGGAAGGAGGTTAATGCATTGGAAACAGTTCACAGGGTTTACCAGACTAATACCTGGAATGAGCGAATTGCCTTACGAAGAAATGCCGGACAGACTGGAACTGTATCCTTTGGCATGTAGAAGAATCAGAGGTGACTTAACTGAAGCACCCACGATCCTAAGGGGACTCAACTGGATGGATATGGAAAGGACATTTCCTCTAGAACTAGAATCTAGAATGAGGAGCTAGATTAAAAATAAGGGGGTGCCCATTAAAGACAGAGTGATGAAAAAGTCTGAGGACTGAGTCTCTTTGAACTTCCCTTCCAAAAACAACCATGTACAGAATCTGCAAATATTTTTAACACAGAGGTCAACAGGTTCTTGACAATAAAGGGATGAAAGATTATCAGGGGTATACAGGAATGTAGAATGAAACTAAAATCAGATCAGCCAAAATCTCTCTGAATGGTGGAGCAGGCTCAAAGGGGCAAGCATTCTACTCGCGCTCTTTGTTCCTTTGTACTGGTTTCGGTGGTCAGGGACTTTTTTTTCTTGCCTTTTGATTAGGGGACAGATGCATAGCTTGGGGATTGGGGGAAAAACAAAACTTTTAAAGATTCAGTTTCCACTCAGCAGAGTCTTGGCTGAAGCTACTTCACAGAATTATACAGTCCAGAGGAGGCCCTTTGGCCCATCAAATCTACACCAACACAAACAACACTGGTCCCACTTGGTTGACATTTGGCCCATTAGCCTTGAATGTTTTGACAAGTGCTCAGCCATATACTTCTTAAAGGAAGCGGTTTCTCTTCTCAACTAACGTAGAGAACATGAGTAGACCATTCAGTTCCTTGAGCCTGTTTCATGAAAATCATGACTGATCTGTGGCCTAACTCCGTATCCCTGCTTTGGCCCATATTCCTTAATACATTTGCTTAACAAAAATATTATCTCTCTCATTTTAAAATTATCAAAAGATCCTACATCACTGTCATTTATGGAAAAGAGATTCAAACATCTACCACCATACGTATGCTGAACTGCTTTCTAACATCTATCCAATATGGTTCAGGCACAAATTCTCAGACTATGTCCCCTGGTTCCAGAATCCTCAGTGGAAATAGTTATCTTTGCCTACCCTGTCTTTTCCTGTTAATACCCTGAAGACTTCGATCAGATTACCCCTTAGCCTTCTAAATTTTGGAGAAAATAGGCCCACTTTTAATAATCTCTCCTCACAACTTAACGCCCAAAATCCAACTGTCATTCTTCTAAATATATATTTAAGGTAAATGTATCGTTCCTAAGAAGTGATGCCCAAATCGACACTGCAGCATAATTGTACATCCTTGTACTTCTAGTCCTCCAGATATAAAGGCCAGCAATTCCGTAAGACCATTAGATATAGGAGCAGAATTAGGCCATTCAGCCCATCGAGTCTCGTCAACCATTCGATCACGGCTGGTGTGTTTCTTAACCCCTTTGTCCCTGTAACCCTTAATCCCCTTACTAAGCAAGGATCTATCTCTACCTTAAATACATTCAAAGAATTGGCTTCCACAGCCCCCTGTGGCAATGAGTTCCAGAGACACCACCCTCCGGCTGAAGAAATTCTCATTTCAGATCTAAAGGGTCGTCCCCTCAAGTCTTAGTCTCTTCTACAAATGGAAATATCTTCTGCACGTCCGTTCTATCCAGGCCTCTAAGTATCCTGACCAGTTTCAATGAGACCCCACCCAAACCCCCAACCTTTCTTCTAAACTCAGAGTCCTCAACCACTCCTCTTATAACAAGCCCTTCATTCGCAGGAACATTCTTGTGAACCTCTGCTGGACCCCTTCTAACACCAGCACATTTTCTCTTAGCTACAGGGCCCAAAACTACTCAGTATTCCAAATGCAGTCTGACCAGAGCATTAAACAGTCTCAGCAGTCCATCCTGCTTTTATATTGTAGCCCTCTCAAAATGAACACTAACATTGCATTTGCCTTCCTAACAGCCAACTGAATTTGTATGTTAACCCTAAGAGATCTGAACCAGGACTGGCAAGTCCCTTTGCGCTGCAGATTTCTGAAACCAGTCTACACTTCAATTCTTATTAGCAAAATGCCTAACCTTAAACATTCCCACACTATATTCCATCTGCCTTTCTTTGCCCATTCTCCTAGCTTGTCCAAGTACCCATGCAGCTTGCCACTTCCTCAATACAACCTGTCCCTCCACCTTTGTCATCTACAAACTTAGCAACAATACCCTCAGTTCCTTCACCCAGATTGTTAATGTACAACTTGAATAGTTGTGGTCCCAATACGGATCCCTGCGGAACTCCCCTAATTTTCCATCCTGAAAAAGACCTCTTCATTCTCAGTCACTGCCTTCCGAGAGTCAGCCAATTCTCTATGCATGCCAGCACCTTGCCCCTAATACCATGGGGTTCTTATCCTATTTAGCAGCCTCCTATGTAGCATCTTGTGAAAGGCCTTCTGGAAATCCAAACAGATCACATCCACTGGCTTTTCTTTGTCTAACTTGCTAGTTACCTTCTCAAAGAATTCCAGCAGATTTGTCAGGAATGACTTTCCCCTGACAAAGCCATGCTGACTCTGGCCTATTTTACCACATACTTCCAAGTATTCTGCAATCTCATACTTAAAATCTTACTAATGTCAGTGGTCAGTCTAATCAGCCTATAATTTGCTATCTTACACCTCCCTCCCTTCTAGAACAGGCATGCTACATTTGCCATTTTCCTGTCCTCTCCGACCCTCCGACTCCAGCGATGCTTCCATAATCTCCCCACGTATCTCTTTCAGAATCATTCCATTAGCTTTCCTGACTATTTTCGGCTCCTGTTTGTGACATTTTAAATGTCCATGCACCTGAACGCCACAGTCTCTTTGGACATTCACTGCATTTAACTCCCACAAAGTACCCTGATCCAACTATCTACAGTCCTAAATTGATAACCTCACACTTATTTACACTAATCTCCATCTGCCACAGCTCTGCTCATTCATTTAGTCTATCAAAATCCCTTTGTAATTTAATACCATTATCTACACTGTTTACAATGTTGCCTAACTTGTCAAAGACAAATTTGGATATGTGACTTTATGCCATTACACAAATCACTAATAGCTCTTGTGATGCAGTGGCAGTATCCCTATCTCTGGGCAGGAATTCTGGGTTCAAGACCCACCTGCTCCAGAAGTATGTAATAACATCACTGGGCAGGTCGATTAGGGGAAAGAAATATGTGCTCTCTAAAGAATTCCAAGTCGTTAATACATAATGTGAATAACTTGACATGTGAATGTCCTCGTGGGAACCACTGGTCACATCCTGCTAATGTGAGCACCTACCTTATCCCTACTTTATCGCTTGCCACCAAACTAATTTCCCAGCCATGTCAATAATTCCATGGATTTCTACCTTAATGAATTTTTTTGCATGTCAGACTTTATCAAGTGCCTTTTGGGAAGTTCATATAAACAACATCCATAGACAGTCCCCTGTCCATTACCTTAGTCACCTCTTCAAAAAAATTCAATGAGGTTTGTCAGGCATGACCCACCTATCATGAATCCCTGCTGGTTCTCCCATTTTAACCAAGAATTTCAGGGTGTTCAATTACCCCATCCTCGATTCTGAACTCCCAATCATTTCCCTACTACAAACGTAAGGCTAACCAATCTGTAATTCTCTGGCTTTCCTCTTTCGCCCTTCTTAAAAAGCAGAGTGACATGTGCCATTTTCCAATCTAAAGAGATGACTCCTGCATCGAGGGAATTTTCAAAGAGTTCTGTAGTGCATCTGCAATGTGCTCCCTCCTTTAACACAAATGGAAATCGTCACATCCCTAGATTTGTCACATTTTAATTCCATTAGTTTCCTCATTACCAATGTTTTATTTATGTTAATTTTATTCAGACCCTGGTCCACGTCCACTATTAATTTCCTTTGATCGTCTGGCAAGCGGTCTTCCTTTTCTACTGGAAATACTGAGGCGAAGTAATTATTGAACAGGTTTGCTATTTTCCCGGCAATCATTGACAATATTCCCACTTTCAGTCTTTAGGGGACCACATTGCTCCTGACCACTGGCTTTCTCTTTATGTTACCGTAACATTTCTTCTTACTGATTTTGATGTACTTGGCAAGTTTTATTTCAGAATCCTTTTAGTAGCTCTTTTAAACTGCTGTGGCCTTTTGTTCGTCTTTGTACCTTTCCCATTCAGCCGAATCTTTGATATTTACTGCATTTTTGCACGCCTTTTCTTTTATGGTTGTGTCCTTTATCTCTTTAATTGTCCATGGCTGTTTTATCTGTCAAGTGGAGCTTTTCCCTCTCAGGTATATTGTTTTTGTATTGTGTTCAAAGTTTCTTTACAAATGCTCCATAGTTCTTCAATTGTTATATCCATTAGATTTTCCCAATTTACTGTGGACAGTCTGTCTCACCTCTGAAGTCAACCTAAATCTAACACTCGTGGCTGATTCATGCCTTTTGTTTTCTAACACTACATTGAACATGATCACGGTATGATCCCTATTTGATAAAGGTTCACGCACAATTAGGTTACTAATTGAATCTGGTTCATTAGTCATGACTAAATCCAATATTGCTTGTTCCTTTGTTACATCCGGCACATACTGCTGTCGGAAACTATCCTGGACATATTCCACAAGTTCACTAATTTCTGACAGGTGTTTGTCTGTTTCTCCCAATCTATGTACAAGTTAAAATGTCCCATTAACATGATTCTGGCTTTGCTACACATGCCTAGTTTCTGCATTTATATAATCTAGCACTTGAGCGCTGCCACTAGGGTCTGTACACAACAGCTATTACAGTTTTAGATCCTTTACTATTTCTCAGTTCCACCCACACAGCCTCCACTAAATGCTTTCCCCTTCATTGTCACCCCTCTCACCACTGAAGTAATGTTCTCTCTAATCAGTAAGGTTACTCGACCTCCTCTGCCCTTTTCTCTGTCCATCCTGTAAACCCTACATCTCGTATATTTAATTCTCAATCCCAACCCTTCTGCAGCCATGTCTCAGTAATGGCTACTATATCATAACCTCCAATTCAAATCTGTGCTTGCAGTTCATTTAATTTATTCCTTATGCTTAGATGCATTTATATACAGAACTCTTATTTGGGCCATACACTGTAACCTGTCTCCAAGGAAAATGCCTGAGAAAGGGAGTTAGAATTGTTAAGAAATAGATTTCACTGGAAGGAGTTCAATAAAAGTTCCAAAACATAAGTGTTATTTGAAGCTAAGAAAGCTTAAGATCAATTGTATGAAGGCTCCAGGAAGAGGCTGATCAGATTCTCAACACAGGGATTTGAAGCTACAGCTAAATTAAGCCCTATATGGATGACAGAGAAGGGAATACTACCTGGTGAAGTAATGTAAAGAAATGATTTTGCGATTAATGGAAATCTATTTATACTCCATGTTCTGAAATCCAAACATGTATTGCATGCTAATAGTTTTGTTTTCTATTTTACCTTAATTTCTTTTGCATAATGAATTTCTATTTTATTGTTAAAACTAACTGCAGTACGGTGTGCTTATGTTTCAGTGAGTGGGCATCTTACTAAAAGCAAAAATCAAAATCCATCAAGCTAGATTTCAGTTGGGATCTGACTTGACAACTAATTTCAGCGGGAGTCATAACACTCACCACACTTTATTTGACAGCACAGGTAAGAGTCCTCAAATCAACATCATTGAATTTTACTCACCATAATAAAGGCTATCTCTACTGGATTGTCACCATCCAAATCAAATTTAAAAGTAACCATTTTTCGATTGTGCGTTTCCAACTGGCATTCCACAACTCTGTCTCCTTTATTTGAAACCTTAAAAATAAAGTACAATATATACAGTATATTCAAGTTAGACAAGATTTACAATAAACCTTCACGAAACTCTTTACTTAAACCTAGGTATACATTGGGCACTTACATTAAGAATTCGTAGCTTTGGTCTAGATGATTTTTCATGACGTGAACGACTCCTCACAGATTTACGACAATGCCGCTTTGCTGATCGCCCTTCATGTCTTCCACTTGTTGGAAGGCCTTCATTACCATCACTCATCCCAGAAGCAACATCTGAGTGAGCACTGGAAATCAAAAAATAATAATTAGATACACCATCTTCAAACATAATTTTTGGTAGTGTTACAGATCTAAATTAGAAAATGTTCCCAATGCCCAGGACCATCAAACACGTGAGCAACTGAAATAATAAATCTCGATTATCTCTCATGTAGACGTTTTATTGGAATGGACCATATTCTGATAAAAGATCCATATTTAAAGGTTTTCAACATCAGTTTTCACAAAATAGGACCTTGCACTGCACTTCTTTATGCTTTAATTTCATATTCCAGTTGTGTAGGTGTTATTTTCCAACATTAAAAACACTTCTAGAAATGGTGGAGTAGGCTTGAAGGGCCAAGTGGCTTGCTCCTGCTCCTCAACTGTATGTACGTACATCTTTCCTGAGTTGCAGTGCACAGAACTAAATGCAGTACTCTAGATGGGATCTAAATCAAAGCACTTTACAACTTAAGAAGAACTCCCTCCCCTTGGGTATTCCTGATCTCCAGAGACAAAGGTTTGCCATTTTATCACATTATGTTGCCCAATACGTACATTGCATAAAGCTCAAAGAAAAATGCACTCTCATTATGTATTCTTAATTATAGTTTTAAAATCACCTGTCCACAGATGAGCATAACTGCAACTGTTCCGCCTGCGTTGGAGCCTGGGTCCCCTAAAAATATAATTAAAACCAGTGTTAATGACCACTAAACATCCAAAACCTAACCCAACAAAAATGAACATTTTCTTCTCATGATGCCACATATTCCTTTTCCTTCTCAAATTCTAAAGCAGTAACCTCACTCCACTTGATCAATTTTGCTTTCCACGAGCCCTATGCTACTGCTCAATCAAAGCAGAAGCCAACCAACTCACTTCATTCCTTCTTTAACAGCCTGGATGTCAGCAAGGGATAAAGAAGTGGGATGAAAGAAGGCAAAGGGACAAGGTGGGAAGAATTCCTCAACTTAGGGTGGGTGGAAGTGTACATATCTCAATAGCAATGCGCACAGAATAACGTCTGAAAACTCAGGAGAGCAGGGACGAAAGAGAAGACAGGCCATGCTGCTTGAAAAGTAAAGACTCCAAGGACTACATAGTCTACTCTTTTTGCCCATGTATCATACTCTTCCAACTCTGTGGAATAATGACAACCTAACTACGTGGTGGCAGAACAACTACATCGTTGCTCGGGCAAGGAAATTCAACCATATTTCACTACATAGGAATGTACATGTTATACACTAAATGACCAATTAAAAATGGAGAGACCATAAGTGATATTTTTGAACAGGAAATACATGCATTCACAATTTGTTTTTAACAAGCGATAAAAACTTTTACTGTACATCAAATGTGCAAATTTCCTCTTGCTGCTGTTTCTTTGTTTGTTCTTCCAATATTCTTCATGGTTTCTTTTCCCCTTATGCCTTTTTGGTGCATGACACAAAGGGGAAAGAAACTAACATACCAATCAACTGCATTTGCAATAGATGTTGTGGGAAAAGATAGCTATCCCTATTTCTTTCCTCATTTCTCGTCTCTTCCCCAACTACTCCCTTACATTGTATTCCTTAGTCCAAATAATACCACACCTTCTCAGCACACTTCAGTAAAATCATCAACTTATCACTTCCCTTTGGAAAATCCAAATTACTCTTCAATTTCTAATTTGGTAACACCCACCTACTATCAGCTGCACCAATTTCCCCAATTTCTTTTGTAGGGATTGGATAAACATGTGGCAGGGACAGTCAATGTGAAGCTGCACACAACTCTTCAGTTAAGCTACACAACACAAAGAAATTGTCAAATCACTTGTGCAACAGTACTTCATCCGCCAAAACGGTGCCAAGTCTGGTATTTTGGTTCTTAGTAGATGCACTCACTTCCAGAAAACAAAAATTCTGATAGGAGACAGATAAAGATTGCTTTCATTTCCTTAATAATTGCATGCCTAAGCATAAAAATACCTCTTGGGATGCCTGTGTCTGTAATTGTCCTGTCTGGCTCTGCTGAACAGTGGAGGTACAAGGCTGGAGTAATCTTGTTTGTCCAGGTGCTGTAGATTCAATATAGGTTTGAGCCATGACTGCAGCAAGACCAACATGATACGATGCTTGTGTAACAGGCTGAGATGCAACATCTATAGAAACTGGAAGTGGAGGTGAGACTACAGTGGACTGGACACCTCCAGAAGACTTTACAGGGCTTGGAGTAATAACCGGCAACTGGGAGGAGTAATTCTGTCAAAGATATTAAAGCCAACAATCAGAACAACTAAATGCTTTGTACAATATACATGACTAACATTTTTTCTTCTTGCAGGGGAATAAATAGCAATGAAAAAACCAGCTCTTCAAAGTTTTCTACAGGTGAAAAACTTTTATTCCTTCTGAATTCAAACAAAACAAAAACAATTGTCTATTTCATTATATCCTGCTACACAACAATTATGATGCTGTCTCCTCTTCACACTCACCTCCCTGCAACTTCTGTTATATTCTCTTGGTGCAAAAAGGTAGCTCAAAGTCTAAGTGAATGTGCTTCTATTATTTGAATTGACAACAAATTATTTAATGTTTCTGCCTAAACTTTAAATCAGATAACTAAAATACTGCATTTGTAGAAGTCAAAAAAGCAATTACAAATGAGCATTGCATTCAATTTTTTTTAAATGCTCCCCTAGACTATAATATCCTCCATTGTGACCATTTAACTCATCAATTACAATTTTTTGACAACAGTAAAATTCAGGTGGATAGAGGGGAACCTACAGGTGCAGCATACTTAGGGTTCCAAGATGCTTGATAAAGGTGTCAGCTTGTGCAGTGACATCCGATCTAAGAGCACATGGATAACAGGAAGCAGAGAGTCAGGAACAGGTGAATCCTTTTTGGATTGCCAAGCTGTAATGGTGAAGTGCCACAGGGATCAGTGCTGGGGCCTCAAATATTTATATTCTAGATCAATGATTTGGATGAGACACCCAAATGCACAGCAGCTAAAATTGCCAATCACAGCAGGATCGGTGGGAAAGTAAGTTATCAAATAGTGTTGGCAAAGGGACATGGAAAGGGTAATACAAGCGGGGAAAAAAAACTTAACAGATGCTGTGCAAAATGGCGGTGTCCATTTTAGCAGGAAGAACTGAAAAGCTGTATATTATTTCAAGAGATGGCAAAACGTAATGGTAGAGACGAATCTGGCATCCTGTTACATGAATCACAAAATTAGCATGTATGGCAAGTGGACATACAGAATTAAGGCGGCAAATTGAACGGCAGCATTGATTACAAAAGGAATCAAATATCCAAATCGCAAAGTTCCATTGCAGTAGTACATGGCACTGGTGGAACCACATCTGGATTACAGTGTGCAGTTTTGGTCTCCTTACTTTAAAAGGAGAGGGTATAATTGCAGAAGATTCGAATAGCTCCTTGTTGGAATGAAGGACTTGGCTTCTGAAGAGCGACTGAACAGATTTGGCCCATGCTCATTGGAGTTGGGGGAAATGAAAGGACACCTTATTGAAACACAAGATCTTGAGAGGATAGAAGCATGATTTTTCTTGTGGGGGACACTGAACTTAGGAATGTAGTTTAAAAATAAGAGGTAACAAGGTGTAGAGCTGGATGAACACAGCAGGCCAAGCAGCATCAGAGGAGCAGGAAAGCTGACATTTCGGGTCGAGACCCTTCTTCAGAAATGGGGGAGGGGAAGGGGACTCAAATAAATAGGGAGAAAGGGGGAGGCAGATAAAAATAAGAGGTCTCCTTTTCAAGGACCTTTAATATCATCTTTCTGAAAGTTGTTTACTGGCCTTTAGCATGAGAAAAGATTTGAAGTCTGATCCCTCATTCAACAAGTTGGACAATCCTGCTTCGTAATAACAACTGTGCTTCTTTGAAAGATGAGCAAGAGCTTAATATGAATCATTAGACAGACTTCAAGTTACTGACAGCTAAAGTAAAAATTTCCCAATTTAAAAGTAATTTTCACTACTTACTCAGCCAAATGCTCCAGACTAATAATTTGAATAGTACAATATGTAGCAAGGGAAAATATATCTTAATCTAGTCAAACAATGAAGAAAGCATGATTCAGTGATTTAATGTCTTACCTGTGATGAAGTAGGACCCTGCTGAGCAGCATGCATTTGACTGATAGGCAGAGCTTGGGGCTGAGGAACTATTTGACTTGGAACCGAGCCACTGGATGCCATCTGCGGAACTGAATATTGCACAGACTGCTGCGGTACCGTCTAGGTAATGAGAGAGGGGAAAATGTGGTATTATAGTATTTGCAATTAAGTTTTACCAAGTGGCTCAATGCATACTTTAACCAGAATATAAATCTTAAAAATATTTTGTTTAAACTTGGAAAGGTGATCAAAATACAAATAAGAATTTAATTTAGTGTACGTACACAAATATGTATGTTCATAGACAACTGTATTCTCCCACAACCCACACCTTTAGAACAAAATTCTCGAGGTGCCCAAAGGGACCACTTTTCAGCTACCTTTCAACAAGGCACTTTTTGTGTGGTCAGGTCAAGTTAAAATGCATGCAACAATCTCGGCAAACTCAAGGTTTTTCAACAATGAAGGCATTCTTCAGTTTTAGCTCACATCTCCCTGTCCGCAACATCCAAATGTGAAACAGAAATGCAATGGATTGTAATTGTGCAAATCATTAAAATGTTCTACTCCTCCATTCATGCCCACAGAGCAGAAGCAGGATTTTACTTGACTCTCTTCAGCAACTGTGGAGCATGTTACAAGTCTAGATTTTGAGATCTGCAGTAAAGGGGGCTCAATGGTGAACTCAAAACAAGTCGCACAGAGCTTTAGCCATCATCTTAACAAGACTCCAAATGGCTAGGCATGCAACTGATTGCAATTTTTTAACAGCAATTTCTAACATCACTGCAACTTGATGTGGTCAAGCTATCATGCAGCCAATCACCTTAAAAATTCTCAGATTGCAAACCAGTATTCTGCATTTTCAATTCATTCAAGTAATATGGGTTTCACAGGCTAGGCCGTTATTTATTATCCATCTCTGGCTGATGATGGTAATCAGCTGTCTTCTTAACCGCCGCCATCCATTTCGTGCAGGAAGACAATGTTGCTCAGGAAGGAGCTCCAAGATTTTGACCCAGCAACAGTAAAGCAACAGTGATAAATCTCCAAATCAAGATGGAATGCGGCTTGGAATAGGACTTGGAGTGGTGGTGTTCTCATATACTCACTGTCCTTTTCCTTCTAGACGATAATGTTTGTGGGTCTGGAAGGTGCCAAAGAAGACTTGATGAATTTCTGCATTGCATCTTATAAATGGTACACACTGCTGCCACAGTACATCAACGGAGGATGGAGCGAACGTTTGTGGATATGATATTAATCAAGTAGGCTGCTTTGTCCTGGATTGTGCAAACTTCTCAAGTGCATTGGAACTGCACTCATCTATGCAAGTAGAGAATATTCCAACATACAGCTGACTCGTGCTTTGAAATGGTGGACAGGCTTTGGGGAGTCAGATGAATTATTCACTACTAGATTCTTAGCCACTCACGCATTCTTGTGGCGAGAACATTTATTTGGCCATTCTAGTTCAGTTTCTGTTCAACGGCAACAGCCAAGATGTTTTCAGTGGGGAATTCAGCGATAACAAAACCATTAAATGTAAAGCTTGATTCAATTTCCTGGATTTGACATGACTGACCTCCAACAACCAGCTTCCTTTGATCCAGGTTTGAATCCAGGCAGCAGACTGTTTATTTCACCCCAGGTTCCCACTTACTCTAGTTATGCTAGGGTTCTTTAATATTAAACTCAGTCAAATACAAATGAAAAATTGTAATCAAATCGCTTTCTAAAACTTGACAGTAAGCAAAATAAAGTCTGGAACCTACACATGGAGTTATGCTCAAAGCTAATTTATCACAAAATTTTAAACAAACTTAGTCTGATACGGTTTAGTAATAAATAATAGACCTTTAATACATACTACAATAAAAAGCTCATTTTCAGGAGCAGATCAGTTGTTCAGCAGGAGGTATTACTCAAATCAATGTCAGAAGTGCATGCACACCTAATAATCAAACAAGGCTTAGTGCTTTTTTCTCCCCTATATAAGGGGTTTCCAACAGTAACACGAGAAAGGTAAAATTTTCTCCAGATCAACTGATTCCAGCTATCAACTGCAAAAGCCACTCTAATGATTTGAATTCAGGATGGAATTAATAGTCACATGCAAGAAGGTGGGTTTGATACAGCACCACAAAATGGTGAGAGAAGTTATAGGTCATGGTGCAGGAGGGACAGTAGCAAAGTGGATACATAATTGGCTGAGTGATACGAAGTAGATTAAAAGTCAATGGATATTTTTCAGGCTGGAGGAAGCTTTGCAGTGGAGCTCCCCAGGGGTCAGTATTTGGAACCGTGCCATTCCCGTTATACATTGATTATCTGGATCTTGGTGTGCAGGGGTCAATTTCAAAGTTTGAGTGCTCAAAGTTAGACATTAAACTTGGAAGAATTGTAAACTGTGAGGAGGAGTGTGGAACTCCAAAAGGACATTGACAAGTTGGCAGAATTGGCACATAGGTGGCAGATGAGACTCAATGCAGAGAAGTGCAAGGTGATATACGCTGGTTGGAAGAACACTGAAGCACTACATAAAACAGGCGCACAATTCTAAAAAAGGTTCCAGTAGCAGAGGGATCTAGGAGTATTTACACACAAATTGTTGAAGGTGGCAGGATAAGTGGTGAGAGCAGTTACAAAAGCATACTGTGTTCTTGGCTCTATTAATGGAGACAAAGAGTGTAAGAACAAATAGGTGATGTTCAACTTGTATGAGAAAACAGTCAGACTTTGGCTGAAGGATGATGTACAGTTGTGGGTGCTATATTATGGGAAAGATGCAAATGCATTGGAGAGAGTGCAGAAGCAATTTATTCAATCGGTTCAGGAATAAGAAACTTCAGTTACGAGGACAGAATGAAGAGTTTGCAAATGCTCTTCTCGGAGATATGACAGCTAAGAGGAAATTTGTGGAGGTTTTCAAAATCATGAGCGGGTTTTGGAGAGTAGATAGTAAGAAGCTGTTCCTATTCATACAAAAAAAACTAGAGGGCATAGATTTAAAGTGATGTGTAAATGAAGCAAGAGTGAGGAGAGAAAAAAAAATACTATCACACAGCAATTAGTTAGGGTATGGAATGCACTGACTGGAAATGCGGTGGAGGTAGGTTCAATTAAGGCATTCAAGAGGGCACTGGATGATTACTTGGGACAGAAGTGGTGTGCAAGGATATATGAAAAATATAATACAACCAGTGCAGGCACAATGAGGCGAATGACCTCCTTCCATACCACAGTGGTACTGGGATTCTGTCAATTAGTTTCTTCATTAAAATCATAACTTTCATTCACTGCAAAGTTACCTACAAATTAATGTACTTAGCTGGCACACATCTATAAAATTTATAACTTTTTCTAACTGAAGACTGCCCTGTAACTCTCAGGTCTACAATTTGAACCTGAATTTACATTTCTTAATACAATAAACAACTTCTTTAAAAATGAAGAAACAGATTTTTTATTTCTGACAAAAAGAAAATAACTAACTTGAAGCATGGATTCTATACCGCATAGCGCAAATGAGAGTGCAAAAACTGTGCACACACCACACATGGGGGGAAGAAATGATCAAAGAAGAATGAAATTCTCTACCTGTGGAAGATACGCTAGGGTGCAGTAACTGCCAAACTACAAGAAACAAACATAACAAAGGATGAGATACTGTATGAGCTAAAAGAGAGTCCTATCAACCCAACCACAAATTCAAGTTGGCCATGGAAGGAAAACTACTCGATCAGAAAAAAAAAGCAAACTGCCAAAAAATCAAACTTTCATCACAACCGAGATCCTGAATTTCTTAGCTAATATTCAGTTATGAAAATTGAACAGGATGATTCTTCAACAACACTAATAATTTGCCTATCTACTACCAGATTTTCTGAATCGCAGTTTCTAGAGCAAAATTCAATTTTACATTTATTCCTGCATATCTTGCAATACCTGATTATTACCTTGTTTGTCTGCTGCATGGATCCTGGAGGTGGTTGCGGGGCTGCCTGATTTGACACAGTTAGAGGAAGACTGGTAGGTGGCGGCTGGCTCTGCATTTGCACCTGCTTGATATTTAGACATACAGAATTAATTTATGACACAAATATTATGCATCCATTGCAAAGAAGGATAATGCATCCTGAATTAAAAGTTAAAGTTAATCAGGCATTTTAAGTTGGATGATTTTAAATTGAATGTAATCATTTCTTCAGGTATCAGCAGTACTCTACACAAATTCAATGATTAAGTCAATCAGATTCATAGAAATAATAAGTTTTAAATGGGAGTTATTACTGATAAATGATTATGATATCCTCCTTACTGATGTAGTTCAAAAAGTAAATGCAACAATCAATATTTATTTGAACTGAATCTCCTTTAAAAAAAATCTACGGAACCTATAGCATCTAAATTAAAAGCTCTTACTCAAAACAAAATGACTGATTTATACAAGTCATGAAACAACACAAACTATTCCTAATTTGCAGGCTGCTATGCATTTTCTTTTCCAGTGATCAGCTTTGCCTTGTAAAAGACTAAACATATTTCAGCAAAAGGCAGGAACACCTGAAACTCAAGTACCAAAGGTAGATTCTGTCCATCTGCAGAACTGTGATCCACTGCAAAGTTCTGCTGGAATGTAACAGGATGGGGCCAGGATCCTTCCATGAGTTGCTGATACAAGCCAGCTGTCCCTGAAGTTGTCGGAAAGGACTCAGTGTTGAACTGCTTTAACATGGGTGGTTGTGAAGCTATTGAAACAGGCACACCTTGCAACGTTTCATAATGCATGCCATGTTTTGGCAAAACCTGCTGTTGCTCACAATACAATGCTAAACTGGAGAATGGCATCAGGAATCCAAAAGGTGGTGGTGACTGGAACTCTCTGGTCTCCGAGGAAGTTGATTGACCAGAGTCACTTGAACACTGCGGACTAAGATGCTGAGCAAATTCTTCTGACGTAGGCCGTCTGCTTTGCAGGAAATCACTCGGCAACAACAGAGCATCAGAACTAAAATAAACCACCTGTTCTTCAGTCACTGGTTGAAGCCTGCTGTACAATCCAGTCCCTTGACTGTCCTCTAAGCTTAAATCGACTGAAGCCCTTCGATTTCGGTAAACTCTCTGAGTTAATGATGGAAGGGGAACGTGGATGCCACTACCTTCCATCTGCACTGCAGGAACTTGAAATTCAAAGATTGATCCAGTTCTGCCCTCATTTACCTGTGTAAGGATAGGTGGTGCAGACTGAGGGGCAGTCAAGTGTTGAACAGTTAGCATTGTATTCATAGTTCCAACAGTATTTCTTGAAACAATGCTAGTCATTGCAGGTTCACATTGAGCATCTTTACCATCCTGTACTGGGAGAAATACTTTAGTTGGCAGTGGAAACATTGCCTGTGGCTCTCCAATCCTGCAATGCTGTCCATGCTTTTGCATCATGTCTTGGGCCAGTGGAAAATGAGAAGCTAAGTTTGAAACTTGAGCTGGTACTTTAGAAGAAGCCATCTGCATTATTTGAGGCACATGACCGATTAGGCTTTGTCGTGGGCATGACAACAAATTTTGACCACTCAGGGATTCCTCACAACCCAAGGGCTGGGAATAAATCTGCTGATGCTTTAGGTTTACTTCTGCTGGACTTTGATGCAAAGGAAATGCGCAAGCTGAAAGGTTGTTGCAAGTTACAACTTCATATGGATCCTGTGAAGTTTGCTGTAATTGCATACAACATGGATACACTTTTTCCTCAAGCTGACTCAAACTTAACTTGTTTTCAAAGGCTTGACTTTGTTCTAGTTGCACTTGGCCTTCAATATGGATTGGTTCACTGGTGGATCGATGAGCAACGAAGCCCTTAACAGCTGAGCTTTCAGAATTCCGATTTGTAAAATCATCAGCAGAGAAAGCATTTTGGCCTACAGTCCTTAGTATTGGCTGAAAATGGTGAGTATGAGCTTCCAGGATGGAAGTACTTTTGCGGCGTTGAGAATTAGCAACTTTCAGAGAAAAACTTGGTGGTGGAGAGAAAGAAAATGGTCTTTCAGGAATAGGTGGATATGAAACAGTCTCTGGTTGTGATGGAACTCCCCCACAAGGATGCACTAGAGATGGGGACTGCTTTAACATGAAGACAAAAATCTCAAATCAGAGTTGAGAAAATTAAAGATGCATCATAAAATGAGCTTTTAGCTTGAATTTCATTAATTACATTACAGAACACAATAGCAGAAGTATCTGACAAACACAGAAGACATTAAAAAAACTGAATGAATGCATTAAACACAGTAATGGGCATAAGTTTTACATTAAGCAGTAGCATCTAAACCCCAATGATAAAAGGCGCTGGATGTGAAAGGGATTTATTTTTTGCAAGTTCAGATCTAAAACCTCACCAAAAATTATATTTAAATGATTTGACCCACTTGCCTCACATTGGAAGAACTAATTCAAAGTTTCTCACCTTATTTTACAGAATTAAAATAAAAATTAACCTTCATGAAATTATGTGCTTTTCTCAAAGCGTAATAGCAATTAAGATCTGTTACCACTGGGTAAGCATATGCTGTCACGTGGATAACATTCATTGAGGCAAAAAGTGACAAGAGTGCTTATGCATTAGACAAAAGTTTATCCTTTTTACAAATTGATGATTGATATCTATCAAGAAATTACATTTCAACCACAATACATGTAAACTGCATTTTACCAGCTAGTTATTTGATAAAACGTTTGGAAATAAAAATGGACAAATGGCTCCAGATTAAATCAAAACACTTCCTTTCCATATTTTTGTTATTCATTCATGTAACATGGCCAGCATTTGTTGCCCTTAAGATGGTGGTGAGTTGCCTTCTGAACACTGCTGCAGACCGTTTGGTATAGGTATACCCACAATACTGTTTGGGAGGGGATTCCAGAATTTTGACCCAGCGACTTCCAAGTCAGGATGGTGAGTGGCTTGGAGGGCAATTTGCAGGTGATAGTGTTCCCATGTTTCTCCTGCTCTTGTCCTTCTAAATGGTAATGGTTATGGGTTTGGAAGGTGTATGGAGTTTTGACGAATTTCTGCAGTGTACCTTGTGGATGCTACGCACTGCTGCCTCTGCACATCAGTTGTCGATAGTGACGGATTCAGTGGTCTGTATATCATGGGCTGGCAAGTGGCAAGTAACATTTACTAGGAATCCCACACCTCCTGACGCCAAAAAGCCTGCCCACCATCTACAAGGCATAAATCAGGTGTGTGATGAAACGCTTTCCATTTTCTTGGATGAGTGCAGCTCCAACAATACGCAAGACACTTGACACCATCCAGGACAAAGCACCTCATGGAATCGGAACCACACCTACAAACATTCCTTCCACCACCACTGAAACATAGTAGCAGCCATGTATACAATCTACAAGATGCATGACAGAAATTCACTAAGGCTCCTTAGGTATCACTTTACAAACTCTTCATCACTACCACCTGGAATGACAAGGTCGAGAACACCAACACCTGCAAGCTTTCCATCCAAGCCATTCATTATCCTGAATTAGAATGGTGACCTGTTCTTGAATCTCTCTCCAGGAACACTGTGGGGGAGAACACTGTGGGGGTACCTACACCAAACAGTTTGCAGCATTTTAAAGAGAAAGCGCAGCACCACAATGGATGGATAATAAATGCAGGTCAAGCCAGTGAAGCTTACATTCCCTGAATGAACACTTTTTCTTAAAAAATCAGCAATGCCTTTCAATGTCATGTGGGAGAGTCTCCCTTGTTTGAAGTTCATTTCTTGGCATGTTGCAAATGTTAGTTGACACTTTCAGCTAAAGCCTGGATAGTGTCCAGGTCTTGTCTAAAAGCAGCATGGACTGCTTCAGTATCCAAGTGCTCACGAATGATCTATATGCTTCTCTATATTTTATGGTGACTTTGTTCAGGATTGCAGGTAAACCATTAGAATGTTACAAGTTTTCCAGGAAGTGGATAATTTTCAAAGGAAACAGTTATTCTAAGTTCTTTGTTTTAACAGATCAAAGATATTACAAGAATACACTTTTTTCTCGTTAAAAATTCTGCCTATTTAGATACATTTAATAATTAGAATTGTCAATGGAAACATACACTTCAATTTCATCACAAACTTGCATCCACTCCCCACTTTAAAGGAGCAGATTTAGTAATTGCAACTCTAAAGTATTGTAACGAGAACTAAATCTCATCTTAACTGTAAAACTTAGTGCCCAGAATAGTTTGTATTTACTGAGAACTTATCCTCATGCGTCACATACAACATACAGGGTTGAAACTAATACACGGGAGACTGGAGCGGCGTAGCTTGCGTGGAGGAGCTGAGTGCATAGGCAGGACCCTTTCCAGTGCTTTGGACAGTTTTTCTGCAAAGGTTTCTTCAGGGACAGTCCAAACATTAGGGGAGAAAGGTGCAGAGAGAACCGGTGGCGGAGTGGTGGACTGTCTAGGAATGTAGGGTGAATCAGGGATGGTGTAAAGATGGGGAACACACAGAGACATGCTACGACCTCGTCGAAGCTAAAAAAAATTAAATAAAGAAAGGAGTAAATAACATATCAACTGACCCACAGTAAACTGGACGTCAAAATGTACACAAAAACATTTGATTGTTGGTGATAGCATTCATAATGGAATTTTGCAAATGAGAACTAGAAAGAAATGAAATGAGATGTTTTGCACTGTGATGACGCACGATACTTCAATTAGAAGAAATGAAAATGAGTTGGTTAAGACTTGATGCCCAGGTAAACTCTGCAGACCTTTAGCTGCACAGGATATATAGAGGCAGCCATTTCTGCTACTATTTTCAGATTAAGTGGTTAGATTTAGCACTATACAAGTCTCAACAAATACACCAATGTTGATCCAGCAAGTGTTACTGTTAAGTTTACTACTGGTCAGTATCGGATTGTATCCAAGAACGCACAAAAGAGGGAAAAAAAAATCCAATGTACACTTCTTGGATAGAAGAATAAAGTACTGCAAGCAGCCTGCAAACTCCATACTAAAAATAAAAGATACATTTCAAACAAAAAAATTAATGCAAAGGTTCAAGGGTAGATTTCAATTTGCATGAGGATGAAAGAAAAGGTTTATGCATATCAGCAGTCATCGGAATCCATAAAATATCATGTGCAGTCAACAATGCATTAAAAATGAATTAACATGTCAGAAGCATGTTACGTTTTCAGCAATCCAAGAAAGCTTTACATCAGACCTAAACGCACCTTATATGTCTTCCAGAAATATCCATTTGTTCAATATAATGCATTTACCATATTCACAGAGTATTGACCAATTGTATGCAAACTTATTCATCTAGGATTTTGAAATTATACAGGTATCACAGTTATCACTGGAAATATTTCACCCATGGAAGTTAGCACTGGCGTATTTGATGTTAGTGAGCAAGTTCTAACTTCAAAAATAACCCAACCATTAAGTTTGTCTAATTTAACTCCACCTATGAATTTGGAAATATTCCAGGTCAAAGAAAAATACTCAAACAGCACCTTTTAACAATGTACAAGGAGATGATAACAATTATTTAAAGCAACTTCCAACTTAAGTTTATTTTTAATTAATTAATATTCAAAAATGGCATACAAGGTAAGAATGTATGTTAGAAAGAATTATAAAAAATCTTTCAAGTTGTTAATCTAACCCTGTTAAAGGGTCTTATAATTAAGTTCAATGTTCAAGAAATGACCAAGGATCTTCAAATACATGCCACATATATTTAATAAATAAAATCTCCTCAGACAGACTCATTGATTTATACATACTGCTTACAAAAAAAGCACATAGCCCAATATACTTACCCCTGTAGAATGCTGATGGCCATGCTGTTGTGATGCTGCCTGGATACTTGGAGGAGTCTGACTTGAAATATGCGGTTCTTGAGCAGAACCATAGCCAACAGTTTGACTGCCATGAGAATCTGAAAATCCAGATGAACTCTGGCCACTGTCAAACGTGCCATCAGCTAAAAAAGAAAAACTAGTTTTACATCAAAAGTTAACTTCCAAAATGTTACATTATAAAAAATGTGGTAGGCTTTCAACAAAATCTTTTTTTTTTTGGTTCATCTTTTTAGCATTATTAAACCCACAACAAATGAACAATCCAGGTTAGACCACAGTTTTGGATCTGAATTTCCTATTTGAAATTATGGCATCAAGGCATCAACAGAACTAAAATTTACATCACATAAACTACTGAAATCTGATCATATTCACCAAGCAGAATGCACTAATCTTTAGCTTTGCTGTATAACATTCTCTTCAACTCAAGGTTGAGAGGCAAGCATCCAGTCTATTCAAATTGCCTGAAATGGTCTTCAATTCTATACCTTACATATGCTCGCACACGGACTATTTTAATAGAGGTAGAGAGATTCTTGACTAAAACAGGAATCAAACGTTTCTGGCCGTAGGTGAACATGTGCAATTCAGGCCAGTCAGATCAGCCATGACCTTATTTGAGCAGGGAGTTGGTTCACAAGGCCAAGTTAGCTATTTTGCTCTTAATTCATTTCTTTGTACTGAGAAACTCATTGCTACTTAATATTACTTTAATCATATTATTTTGAACCAAACAACAAAACTAGTTACAAAACTATACCGCTCTGCAAATTTCAAAGGTACAATATATTCACAAAATTAGACTGGTGTTCTTTTATTCTTATTTTGACATCCTATTTGGACTATAAGCGACTATGACGTGTCATAAAATCGTGGACATATCTATGGCCCAATACATTCAACCTATGGAAAAATAATCAAACACCTTCCAGTGTTATATTTTTGAACTGTTTCAAAATTTAACCCACTCATACAAGGTGATTTTGCTATCACCTACACAGAGCAAAAAAGAAATCACTTGGGATCCTGCCAATTGAGAAATTTATTATACACCAAAAAGATAATCACTGTTAAACAGAAGATTAGTACTTAGAAGCAGTATGTTTTGCTCCCAAGTTCCTTACATTACTGTTCAGCTTATCTTTCTCTCTGCGAAGCCAACATTGTATGATCCAAAAATCTCTTGTTCATGTGTAAAAGCATTAACTTTGTCTGGGAGAAGTGTTATCTTATTCAAGAACAAAGACTCTACATAACAAATACGTAACTCCCTACCAATAGTAAAACACAAGTTAAGAGATAGAAGTTTAACATTTCCTCAACTTCAGCAGGAAAAATTATAGCTCACGGGTGCACTGAACAGATAGTGAATCCACCACAGAAGTAAATTTATCCTAAGTGCTGAAAAGAGATCCATAGAAGTAAAAGCTTAAATCAGAAAGTAAAAATAAGCTTGAAATATAAAATATACTTAAACCCAAACTCAAGAATACAAAGGAATAAACTGACGAAGTATTTTCTGGTCTAAGATTTATACTTATCAAGTCTTGTGAAAAGAGCAGGTTTTCTTTTTAAAGAAAACTTAAAGAACTCATTAGTCACCACACCATGTTGTCACAAGGAAAGCTTACCCGAAGTACCATTTATTGCCTCCATCGGTCTATCAATAACTTCTTTATTACTATTGTGTGAAAATTGCCAAGTAGAATTTCTACCATTGTCCAGGGTATAAATGACATGAAATCACTGCTTGGAGTAAGATTCAAGAGACAGGTTACTTATTCAGTTATTTCCTGAACACACTAACCTTCAAGACCAAGGTATAGGCTCATGATGCACAAAGTCTATCTCTATTTGAAAACAGATGAATGCATGAGCCATACATTATGCTGAAGACTTCAGAATTTGTTCATGTGCCTGAAGTCTGGATCAACTACTCCAGGGAACTTGTCCCCAAAAGGGAAGGTAGCTGCTGAAATATGTTCCCAAATAAAAAGATAACTCCTGGAACATGATCCTAGATCAACAAGAAACTAAATTCTTCGCATCCATATTAAGCAGTATGCCAGCTTGTGCAATCACTTCAACAATACCTATTAAAATTGTTTGAATGATTTTGTAACAAGAAGAAAGTATCTACATCAGATTAGGCACAGTCCATGATGACAACAAGTACACATACACTGGCATTTCATAAGCTTGGCAGAGAGTCTTTGCTTACAGAAAGCTTTTCCCAACTTTCTCTGGCCAAGATTTTCAACAAGCACAACTTGCTCATGATTGAGAGATAGAAAGAACTGCCAATGCTGGAGTCAGAGATAATACAGTGTGGAGCTGAAAGGAGCACAGCAGGCCAAGCAGCAGGAAAGTTGATGTTTCAAGTTGGGACCCTTCTTCTGAAGAAGAGTCCCAACCCGGAAGGTCAACTTTCCTGCTGCTCTGATGCTGCCTGGCCTGCTGTGCTGCTCCAGCTCCGCACTGTGTTGCTCATGATTGACTTCCTTTAATGGGTTAACTGTGTATGCACACATGTTACACAAAATAACAAGAGATTTACTTCAGGCTATTTAAATGAGGGCTTTATCATAGCTATAGGAAGTCTCAAGACTGTCTTATGTAATGTTGTTGCAGAAAAATAAATGAGGATGGGTATTAAAAATCCCAGGAACATCACAAGTGAAAAACATGGATAGCAAACTGCATCAAAAATAAGAAGTTTAACTTGCAACTTTTGGGGTGGGGGGGGGAAAGAACGTTGTGCTTGCAACTTCTTAATATCCTTATAATGCCAAGTGATTTGGGATCTCTTAGCAGTGGCAGGTATATGTCTGTGTAGAGTTTGCACATTCTCCCCATGTCTGCATAGGTTTCCTCCCACAGTCCAAAGATGTGCAGGCTGGGTGGATTGGCCATGCTAAATTGCCCGTAGTGTTCAGGGATATGTAGATTAGGTGGGTTATAGGGGGTGGGATGCTCGGAGTGTCGGTGTGGACTTCTTGGGCCGAACGGCCTGTTTCCACACTGTAGGGATTCTACGATTCTATCTATATAGAATTTAATTAAAAGGCATGATGTTAAAAGCAAACAGATTTCAGATTTTTGATTATTTTCCATAATTTGTTTTTAAAATTTGCCAGCACATGAGAACCCAAGTTGGGTTCTCACATGCTTATATGCCCAATCTTCAAAAGAGACTCAGTGAACATTGAAGAGGTAAAACTAGAAACAAAGCGCTACCCAAAGACATAGCTTACTTAAACAACAGTTTAGGACACAGAACATAGAACAGCACAGTACAGGCCCTTCGGCCCACAATGTCATGCCGAACTTTTACCCTAAACCTAAGGTCTATCTAACCTCCACCCCTACCTTATAATATCATCCATATGCCTATCTAATTGCCGCTTAAATGCCCCTAATGAGGCCAACTCCACTAGCCTCTCCGGCAATGCATTCCACGCCCCGACCACTGAGGAAAGAACCTACCTCTGACGTCTCCCCTATATCTACCTCCACTCACTTTAAAACTATGCCCCCTCATAATAGCTACCTCCACCCTAGGAAATAGTCTCTGGCTGTCCACTCTATCTATACCTCTGTTCATTCTGTACACCTCTATCAAGTCACCTCTCATCCTTCGTCGTTCTAAAGATAAAAGGCCGAGCTCTCTCAACCTTTCCTCGTAAGACCTTCCCTCCATTCCAGGCAACATCCTGGTGAATCTCCTCTGCACCTTTTCCAATGCTTCCACATCTTTCCTGTAATGAGGTGACCAGAACTGGACACAATACTCCAGATGTGGCTGAACCAGGCTTTTGTACAGCTGGAGCATAACTTCACGGCTCTTGAACTCAATCCCTCTATTAATGAAAGATAACACACCTTACGCCTTCTGAACAACTCTATCCACCTGGGTGGCAGCTTTCAGGGAACTGTGGACATGAACCCCAAGATCCCTCTGCTCCTCCACACTGCCAAGAATCTTTCCGTTAATCCTGTATTCTGCTTTCAAGTTTTTCCTTCCAAAATGAATCAGCTCACACTTTTCAGCATTAAACTCTATCTGCCACTTCTCAGCCCAGCTATGCATCCTATCAATGTCCCTTTGTAACCCAGAACAGCCCTCCGCACTATCCACAACTCGACCCACCTTCGTAACGTCCGTGAACTTACTAATCCACCCTTCCACTCCTACATCCAAATCATTTACAAAAATCACAAATAGAAGAGGACCCAGAACAGATCCATGTGGTACACCATTCATAACTGAGCACCATGTCGAATGTTTTCCGCCCACTACCACCCTTTGTATTCCAAGGGTCAGCCAACTCTGAATCCAATCAGCCACATTTCCCCCCATCCCATGCCTCCTTACTTTCTGCATGAGCCTACCATGGGGAACCTTATCAAACGCCTTACTTAAATGCATGTATACCACATCCACTGCTCCACCTTCATCCACGTGTTTGGTCACCTCTTCAAGGAATTGTGAGACATGATCTACCCCTCACAAATCCATGCTGACTATCACGAATCAAACTGTGCCTATCCAAGTGATCATAAATCCTTTCTCTCACAGCCCTTTCCAATAATTTGCCCACTATGAAGTAAAACTAACTGGCCTGTAATTTCCGGAGTTATCCCTATTGCCTTATTTGAACAAGGGAATGACGTTTGACACTCTCCAATCTTCTGGCACTATACCCGTGGACAGTGAGGACGAAAAGATCATCGCCAAAGGCCCTGCAATCTCTTTCCTCGCTTCCCATAGAATCCTTGGATAAATCCCATCAGGCCCGGGGGACTTACCTATCTTCAAGTTCCTTAATATTCTTAGTACTTCTTCCTTACTAACATCGACCATCTCTAACCAACCAGCCTGTTTCACACTGTCCTCCCCTACAAGTAAGTTTAAGCCAGGTTAAGCAGGTTTTAGGTTTCTTTCACAGCTTCTCTCCCCTCAAGTTATTTTAGCAATGACACTGGTAGGAGAGATATGACTAGCCTCAGAACAACCATATGAAAGAGGATACAATGAATTGTAAAGAACAACTGCAGGTGTCAAACAGTCCCTGTTTGATGTCCAGGTGGGGTTCTTCCAGAGATTGATTCAACTTGTGGAGTTTGCTTTCACAAGGAATAGTTTGGGTGAGTAGCATGGATGTGTTTATGAAGTTTGAAAAGCATGCAAAAATAGAATGATAAACATGGAAAAATTTAAAATAGGAGCAGGAATAAGCCATCTACTCCATTAAGCCTGCTCCACCATTCAACATGATCAAGGCTGATCCTCTTTCTCAACACCATATGCTTGCTCTCTCCCCATACCCCTTGACAACTTTCACCTCTAGATATTTATTTAATAAACATATTCAGTGGCTTGCTCTCCACAGCTTTGTGTGTCAGAGAATTCCACAGGATCATCACCACTGAGTGAAAAGATTTTCTCATCACCGTCTAAAACGGCCTACTGTGTAACCTGGGTCTATAATTCTAGATCCCCTGGCCAGGAGAAATAATGTCTCCTGCATTCAGTCTGTCCAGCCCTACTGCAATTTTTGTGCTTCAATACAACTTCCTCTCATTCTAAACTCCAGTGAATAGAGGTCCAGTCTACCCAAAGTCTCCTCCTAAGAGGAATCTGTCATCCCAGAAATCAGTCTAGTAACTAATTTTAATCAACTTGTTTGGACATGCTATGACACACCTCCAGGACAGCAGGGACCTGAACCCTGACCTCTGGTCCAAAGATAGGGTCATTGCTACTGCGTCACAAGCGTGAGAAGAAATTAAGGTATAGTGATAGGGTTGAAGGGAAGTCTGAAAGGGGGAGGTAGGGCAGGAGGACACATGAATTATAAATCCTGGCACAGACCAACTGGGCTAAATTAAATGCTGTAAATCTTAAGTGTTTGATTTTGCTTCAGTACCAGAATTACCATAAATACATTTACCAATTCAAGTCTCCCATCTAAGGGGTTTAGAGAAATAATTATTCCAAGCATAACAGGTTTCCATGATATGTTGCAAATACTGATAACCATAATTTAGCAGACAGATGGTCCAAGTGAAAGCTTTTACTACTAAAGGAAGCTGAAGAGTAGATCTAATGGCACCATTAATTAAAAAGTTTGTTTCCTCTGAAGTATTTATTTTCCATGGCATTTGCTAAATACAAGATGTCAGGATGATTAGGCTGTGTACTGTGTTAAGCTGTACCTGTAAGAATACTATTTACGACTGCATGTCCTGACACCCCTATCTGGCAAATCAAGGTCTGGCTTCAAAGGATACAAGTCCCTGTAGCTCTGCTATACGTTGCAAGTACATATACAATTATTATACAACACAGTCCTGGCATAGCCAGTCCTAGGAAGGTCCAGCAGAGATTTTGAGTCCACGTTCTCCTGAATATGCTATGGAGCAACCTAGAGCATTAAACGTTTCTCACAACCATTCATTTTTGCAACACCACCACCTAAACAGTCAAACAGCTGGAATACAAGCAGCTGAATGCAGAATTGTTGCATCACCTTTCAGGAGGTGCCGAAACGTAACTTGGGCTCCCTGCATCACTTCTGCCTCAATTTTTTATTTTCCTCCTCCTTCAGCTTCAACTAACTGCCTTACATAACATTCAAAGCTACAGGCCTACTGCATAAAGTGAGACTAGCGTAGGAGCACATTTTTGGTGGTAGAGACTTGGTGGGCCAAAAGGCCTCTTCTACACTCCATGATTTTTTGTTTTTAACTTTTCTATGAAATGACTTAAGCCTTCCCAAAGGCTTTCAGTATTTATACTCCCTATTCTAAAATTCCGTTTTAATTATACCTTCTGTTTTAAAACTTAATTTGGTGTTCATGTGCTTTTCTGTTTCCAATGGTAGTGCACATCTATGTATGTCCAAACTTGTATCTAGAGCTATACAAATAGACAAGACCATGAATATTGATTCCAACTGCACACTTTGTTTAATCTTCACAAATCAGCACTCAATCGTTTCAACCTAAAGTGCCCACATTCTAAGTTTCAGCAATGGAGTTGAAGTTGTGAGGTTCTAGGCAAATTAGAATATAAATACCAACCTTAAGAAAAAATTCTGTGAACATAACCATCTCTGCTAATATTCAGTTTGTCCAAAATGCTGGGTGTTAGCAGCTAAGCTGTTTATTTCTCCCCCCACAGTGGGTTTAAGTTACAGTCATACATCATGGAAACAGGCCATTCTGCCCAACTCTTCAATGCTGACCAGGATTCCTAAACTGAACTAGTCCCATTTGCCTGTATTTGGCCTGTATCCCCTAAACCTTTCCTATCCATGTAACTGTCCAAATGTCTTAAATGTCGTAACTGCAGCTATCTCTACCACTTCCTCTGCAAGCTCATTCCATATATGCACTAACCGGTGCGTGAAAAAGTGCCTTAAATCTTTCCCCTCTCACCTTAAATCTATGCCCTCTAGTTTTGGACTACCCTACTCTGAAGAGTTAAGTTAGTCAATAACAAATGGAAAGGACACAACATCAATCTTGCTTGGTGCAGGAATTTTCAAAACCACTATGGGAATATTTTTGTGAAGAGGTATGATATGAAATAAATAGAAGAATGAGTAGTGCTATCATCTATGCTAAGTCCATTAAGTTGTGAAAAGGTTTCTGGGCTCAAAAAGTGAAGAGATTCTTCAGAAAATCTATAAAACAGAATTCTTTACTTTGTGTGGGAGAGACAAGTCATTGATTCTATAAGGGTTTTATTATTGTTAGATAGGACAAGAATTTTGATTGTTAACCCAGATCCAGTGACATAAAAACTAAAACAAGGCTTGAAAAATATGTGGAACAGAATTTCACCACTCTACAGCAGTCTTTTGAAATTTTTCTTGTCAATAAAATGATTTCCAACATGTATGGCCTACATTTTAAACTTGAAGAGGGGGAAAAAAAAATTTACACTAAAACATGAAGGCAGGTTAAAAAGCAAGTGATTTCTTAAATGTTAGTACCTCTAGGTGACTACACCACGAAGAAATCAAACAAAATTTATTTTACAGTGTCTTTCCAGCTCTCGATTTCCACCCTCAAAATCAACCCGATTCTTTTACAGCCTCGTGGAGCATGAAAACTCAAATCAATTCTCCCTCACATGGAGGGATGCAAAAACCACCACCACAATATTTTGAACTCACTGAGCTCAACAATTTTAGACCGTAGTCTCGGCTCCTGTCTTTATTTTCAGAGGGGTGGTGTTAGGGAGGAGTCCTTCTCCATTTACACCTCCTCCCAACACATCCTTAAATTTTCTTTACTTGTCCCATTAACACCTCCTCATCATCTTCGTTTTGCATCCTTCATGTTATCACAGACCTTCCATTTTGTTCCTTCCTCCCCAGTTCAAAACTGTTATATCTCAAGTTATGACAAAAGATCACCTATTTTTACTCAGACCTGCACCCAGACCTGTATCCAACTGTCTGGGCAAATTTGTTAATGACGACATTTGGCACAGACAGTAACAGTTCTTTCATCAGCGATATAAAATTCAATTTACAATAAAGATTTCTTAAAATTGCAAAGGAACAGTTATTGCCTAGTTTTAATATGAACAACATACATGTAACAGAGTTTCCAGCCGGCTGGTACTGCAAACGATGTTGATCTGCTTCAGGCTCTTCTGGTTCAACTTGGGTTGGTAGAGCTCCAGTAAGGGCAGAAGGAAGTGCCGTGGCAGATAATTGGGAAGGATGTCCCCCTCCAGTTTGAGATATACTGGCTCCTTGTTGAGTTTTCTGGTGCTGCAATGAATCATGCTTCTTCTGCTGTTCCTCTAACTTTTCCTGTTTTTCTCTAACCAACTGGCGCTGTTCTCGTTTCCGTTTGATCAGAGATACACGATCTTTAATGGCTTTAGCCATGGTCTTGTGATCTCCTTCAGATACAAATCCAGATTCCACCTGAATAAAGCACAATACCAGACTAAGTCAAAAGTGTATCACATTTTCCATTTAGAGCAAATTAAGATACTGTAGTAAACTCTGAAGTTTGAGGATAAGAGATTGTTTCTGGTATGTTTCTCTTGTGCAGGCTATTCGTCTTGCAAAAAATGGTGCACGGGTAAAACGATTTCACTTTGTTGGTGAGAAGTGAAAAATACACATTGCAGTTTCCAAAGTCTCAAACTCTTGTGCGCGCTGTGATCACAAATGTAGATGGGACTCGAATTCTAGCACAGAAGATAGGCTTGCAATAACACAACAACTTACCATTTCCTGAGCCACATCCTCCGGAACATCTCTTTCCAAGTCAAATGAGAATTCTATGGCTTCATTATCCTTATACTTTCCTTTAAGTTTCTTAATATCTTCAATTCGTAGCCAAAGCTTAATTGCAAGCTTTTCTCCATCATCTTCTTCTGCCAACTCTACACGAACACCAGTATCTTCCTGAAAGAAGGCATGGCTCAATAGGTCCTTGATTGCATACCTAAACCAAATTCAAGCACCAAGTAAGAATAAAGTTTTTATTGTACTCATTAAAACTAATGTTGATGTTGGAGAACTTGGTTCTCTGCTTAATTGAAACAGCATCAACATCGAGCAGTTCTGAACAGTCAGATCAGACTCAGAACATTAATTCCATTTCTCTCTCCAAAGATGCTGCCAGACCTGTTGAGTTTCCCATTTGCTGTTTCTCCTTCAACACTGAGTAAACACATTAGTATACTTTTCAACCTGATGTTCCATAAAACTCCCTCGAGTCACATGCCTCCTCATTTCCAATTGTAGAATAGGAGCTTTTTCTGGAGAGATTACACTTATTTCCAATATCAATGATCCTGTTATCTCTTAAAAGATATTGTCAAACAGGAACAAAAATGGGTATTCTCTGATCTAGTTCTCTGTTCATGGCCCCAAGAGTCAGCAGACTAAGGAGATTTTCAAGCAATTTCTGGACTAGACTGAATTAATGGCCTGGAGGTCAAATGCTTTCCAAAGTAATTCATTTTAAATACAGCAAACTCCATTTTAACTAGCACCTTATGAACCGGTACACTCAAACTGACAAAAATTACATACCTCAAATACTGGAAGTTTAGTGTAGAGATTGCGATCTCTACTGTCTTCACGTTGTCCGCTGAGGGTGAGGGAGAAGGCTCTCTGCCGGTAAGTTTTATTTAAGGCAAACTTATACTTTATTTACAGCATAAATTACTTAAATAATAATAAGTGAAGTGCATACCTCCTGCATTATGTTTTTATTATTTAGTGTGTGTTTTTACATTGATTAAGTGGACCTCTTGATCAACCTGAATATTTGATCAATCAGGATACTCCTGGTCCCATATGTGCCTGTAAATAAACAAAACTGCCTTCTACAAACAATATGGTTTGAAACTTTTTCATTTTTCACAATATCTTTGTCCCCTTATTTTGGAAGGAGCATCATAATTCAGTTTGAAACCTCAAAAGGAATAATTGCCAAAACTGCTTCAGACAGTAATAAATTTCAGTAATTTTTTTACCTGACAACATAAACTGCTTTTGGAAATAACTGACATCACCTCAGAAAGCTAACCTTTTAGACAACTGCAAGATTTAGATGCACAATTCAATTTTAAATCCCACATCATTTTAAACCACAGTTATATAGATATTCACCGTTCATCTTTATTCTGGCGAATACATCCTTCAATTATTTCTTTAACTTCAGGGATTGCTACCTTGTCAAAGCTGGCTGGTTTCACACCCTAAGGAGCAAAGAGAATAAAACATTAAACACAAAAGATGAAAATCTGCAATTAAGATGGAAAATGTTTGGAATATACATAAGATTAAGTCAGCACTGAAAACAGAAATATGGATTAGTTTTTGGGTACAACCTTGCATTGCAACTGATATAACCCAAAAAGTTAATCTGCAATCAATGTTAACTTTACCAGATATGGATTACCAAAATTTTTTTTTTTTTAAACAAAAAGACCAATGTCCTTCAGTTAGACAATTACCCAAAGCTAGTTTCTTTGCATACAGAAAGACAAAAAGGGTGTTAAATTGTCAGTAAGAATAAAGATAATAATCATGGTAATGTGTAGTTTTTGAAGTGAACTTGCAGCTCAGTAATAAAATTGGGCATAACAAGGAAAACTGGAATTCTACGAAAATGAGTTGAGAATAACTAATGTTACATTTGTTCAAAAACAAGGGATAAGAACGTTATTAGCTAAATTAATGTAATTTCTGCAGAAGATAAGCTGCACCTCAGAGAAAATGAGTGAACATTTGAGGATATATGCATCCTGCTCAAAGTTTAGCATCAGTGCACCTAATTTGCAGAACACATTAGGAGACCTGGCAGATAGGGAATGAATGCAGTACAACACAGTTCCATCCATACAAGTTATATTCCCTGTGAGACAATTTTCTATAATGAAGATAAATGTCTACACCTGTGCATTAAACCATACAATTTTGTTTTTTTCAGTTAATGAAATACTGTTCCATAAATGGTTTTAACACACATTCCTGTATGGCTCAATAAAAAAGGTCTATTACAGACTTACTGATTATGTAGTGAAATACCCCAGTCCAAGATTTGAAAAAAGCAAAGACCAATGGAGAAGCAGCTTATTCAAAGTTAGTGCAAAGGAAGGCCTACATACATGCACAAGCAACAGATGACCATAACTCTTACTCAAGTAACAATGATGGTAACTGCAGCAATTTTACAAGTGGCATGGATGGGTTTTTTTTTCCCCACCTAACCTGTGCTTAAAAGGTGTATGAGAGACAAATGAACATTTCTGGTTGCTTGATTAAAGAAGGATTTTCAGCAGAGAGTGAGCATCATTTAGCCATCTTATCAATATTAATCCCAAACTGGTTGTCCCTTTCATAATCTCCGCTGCCCTGTCTTCATTGTTTATCCACATTATTCTTGAAGTTGTCAAACTGTATCCTTTTCGTTCTGAAGAGGAGACTTCAAAAGCTTTCAACTGGTTAGAAGTTTTGCATATTGGGCTGAAACAAGGCAATATGCTTCACACAACAGGGACACCTTCCAAGGTCAAGGTGAGAACGCAAACGGATCACCTTTAGGAGGATCCAAAAAAAACTTCACAACTATAAGTGTTGCTGTAACAAAAACCTAAATCCAAACTCTAAGATCTGCAAAGAGAAGGATTGAATCCCCACCCCAATTTATATCCAAAAATCATAGGTTAACTCTGAATGAGCTAAAAAGTTCCTCGTAAAAATGGATTGTCCACGTTCTGAACCAGGAGACAGTTTTGCCAAATGAAGCACCACTTAGTGTAATTTTTTCTGGGGCGGACGGGGTGATGGCTGCACAAAAGTTGCACGCTTTATGCTGAATTTTTATTACTTTCCTTGGCATTGGCAGATAATAAATTTATTCTTCCTCTGATTCAAGAAACCTGTGCTTTTGACTCTATATTGCTCGTGAACAAAGTTTTTTTTATATTGGAGAGGTATAAGCACGTGCAAATAAACTTAACCTTTGTTGTGACCAACTGAAGAGGTTGAACAGAGGGAAGCTGGTTCAATCCTCATCTGGTTGTAACAAAGCTCTTACCCAATTCCTTCCTGAATGCCACCATAGCAAGTCATAGTCCTGCTCGACTTATGACATGCCAAAGTGATGAATCAATTTCCCAATTTTGGCACCAAGCTCCCCAAATTTTGCTACACACAAGAACTGCTGCAGCACCACATGGCACCAAGTCTCCAATTCTTCAACTCTACTTCAGATCCCCACCAATATACACTCTAAGCTGGACAGCTGCACATGCACGCAGTCACTCCCATGGTCCATGCACAACAATTGGCTTGCCAACGTGGATCATAGAAGTGACATTAGAGTCTGAATTTCCACCACATCCAAACTTCAGAGATCTGTACAGGAAAAAAACTGAGGGATTTCTGCTCTCCACTCCACAACTAATAAATCCCATGATCTTCTTGCATAATTAAGATGTACAACCAAACAACCTATCTAATTCCAGTACACTGACCAGAACACACACAAATGTGGAGAAGTAGGCCGTTCAACCCCTCAAGCCTGCTCACTTGTTCCTAACAGAATCAAGAATATCAGTTCGTGCTTCAAATTTCACATCCCTTTCTACTCTCAAAAATCTTTTATTTACTTGTCTAACAGAAATCTACCTACCCCAGCCATAAAAAGATCTGAAACCTAAGTAGAAATTGCTGGAAAAACTCAGTAGGTTTGGCAGCATCTGTGGACAGAAAGCAGAGTTAATATTTTTACTCTGCAGATTAACTGTTTTCTCTTCATAGATGCCGCCAGACTTGCTAAGTTTCACCAGCAATTTCTATTTTTGTTTTACATTTACATTCTTCACTAAGGAAGATCAAAACTACACACACTAATGAGAAACGGGGTCTCACCAATGTCCTGTATTACTGAAACAATATACTTGTGTTTAGTCCCTCTTGTAACAAAGGATAGACTTCATAATTTCTTGCTGTACCTGCATACTAGCCTTTTACTAGGAGCAATGTTTCTCAACCAATCGGACAAAGCAAAAGTTACCTAGGTGGGGGACGCAGTTTCAAAACTGAGAAATCTGAAGAAAAGCACTGAGATAACAATTAAGATATTAACTGTTTATACAAACAGTTCCTACTCGGTTGAGGTGGTTCAAACTGAGGTATGGTTTGGAGAACATAATTCTGGAGAACAGTAAGGGGCCTGTAGACTCAAAATTCCATGGGAAGAGGTGGGATGTTCTAATGAGGTCATAGCTGCATTGGCACAGATGGCACACACCATAGCTTTCAAGGTAAGATTTTGCAATTTTTGCTATTCCTATGGAATGCTTCCGCTGTCTTTTCTAAGCCCTAGCTTTGTGAATATGCCATTATGCTCACAACAGCTTGCACGACTTTAATAAAGATATTGCTGTAAGAATCTTATTACATAAATCTCATCCCTAAATATCAATACAATCATATCTGTTTATTAATCCACCCTATGACCTTCACCATATTATGATGAACACTAACACTTCACTCACCACACTATCTTTCTTCACAAGCATTGCATAACTAAATAAAATTAATTCAAGCCCCTACATTGACCAATTTTACTGAACAATGAATTCCATTCCACCATGTTACAATGAATCAAAACAAAACAGAGGGTATGGTGCCAATCTGAGAAGATCAACACATTTTTACAAGCAAAAAATAATACAACAGGGGACTAGTTATTTAGCTCTGAGAGGGTAAAGCTCATCAGATGATGCTCAGGTGCTAATTTCGCTTCCAATTTCATTTTGTTTATCACAGATCCTTTTAAAGGCATAAACGTTGAGACCCACATTTGTTGGTCAAAACGGTTTTGTTCTACAGAAATTTTTGTTTTTGGATCATAAATACGTATTTTTTTTAAATTGTCTTTTTTCCTTATATGTATACACACAGACACAAACAATATTTTCCCATGGACCAACTGTCTTATTTCACGCCAGCATTTTCAAACCAGCCTTGTAATTCTCCCATATTAGCACACATGAAAAGCAACTTTGCATATAATGCCCTATGATCACAAAGATTATGGTAATATATGTGAAGTTGATCTTCATATAAAAACTTTTTACATTTTCATTCAAGGGGAGCCAGTTGAAAATGCTGGCTGGAATGATGTTTTTTAATATAACTGGTGTGTACATTTATTTTTTGACAGGTGTTATATGCCCCAAGAATGAAAATGAGCAAGGACTTTCAGTTTCACCTCTTCAGATCTTTTCAATGCTTCCAAAAGGATTCTAGTCAAGCAGAAACAGAAGACTGCTAACAGGAAGTATGACAACTACATTGTGAATTCTCAGTGGAAATGATAATGCACTTACTCCATTATGTTTTATATACAAAGAAATAAGGAACAAGGAACAAGGAACAAGGAACAAAGAACAAGGAACAAAGAACAAAGAACAAAGAAAATTACAGCACAGGAACAGGCCCTTCGGCTCTCCAAGCCTGCACTGACATGCTGCCTGTCACAACTAAAACCTCTTACCCTTCCAGGGACTGTATCCCTCTATTCCCATCCTATTCATGTATTTGTCAAGACACCTCTTAAAGTCAATATCGTATCTGATTCCACTACCTCCCCCAGCAGTGAATTCCAGGCACCCACCACCCTCGGAGTTAAAAAATCTTGCTTTGTAAATCACCTTTAAACCTTGCCCCTCGCACCTTAAACCTACGGCTCCTAGTAACGGACTCTTCCACCCCGGGAAAAAGCTTCGGACTATCTACTCTGTCCACATGTGGAAAAACATTTACCAATGCTGGAATGTCACCTCACAATGTGGAGGCACATTTGGAACCAAGACACCTCAGGATAACTGTTAGTAACTTCCAACAACTCACATCAGCGATGAAAACTCAATGAAAAGATATGTTTTGTTTTGATGAATACTGGCGCCAGTGCTCCCTCAAGCAGAGTCGCAAATGCCCATCACACCTGCTCCAGTTAAAAAAAGTACCTAAAAATATCAAAATCTCATTTTCTAGCATCACAGTGAAAGACTGTCTTGTAATACTGAAGCTCAGCCCACTACCTGATTGAAAAATATCCAAGGTAATCACACTTGAAGTAGATAATTCAACAGATTTCTTGAGAAGTGGAATATAGATAGGACTTAGGACTTGCTCCCTATGTCAAAGGGGCTAAATGCTTGAGGAAGTTTTTATGGTTCAG